TTTTGTGCTAACTCATAAATCAGTGTTATTGGTGCGTAGGATATCTTGGGCCTGGATTCGAGTATTTCGTCACTGGATTCGCTCACAGTTGGGACCAAAGACTAAGCTCTGTGGACCAAGATAAAACTCAACGAGCTCTATCGAATGCACTATTTACTTTTGCTCCAGTACCATTCCAAATGGAAGAAAAACCTAGAATACTGTAAAAAAAACAAGCAAAAAATCGGATTTTTGTCGTGCAACGCACCGTGATTCGGCAACACCTGGGACCGAAGCATAAAAATGACATAGATAGATAGAACTCGACGAGCTCTATTCAATGGTTACCTTTTAAGGTGTTTTAAGTACTTCCTTCAGGTTTTGGTCCCAGCTGATGACGAATCTTGAGCAGTTGCCCGAGAAAAGCCAGGATTTCCGAGTATATTGGGGTTATGGTAGCGGGGGGGGGGAGAGGGGAGAGAAGTACTTAAAATACCTTAAAAGGTGACCATTGGATAGAGCTCGTCGAGTTCTATCTATCTATGCCATTTTTATGTTTTGATCACAGCTGTTGCCAAACCGCGGTGCGCTGCACGAAAAAATCTGATTTTTTGCTTGTTTTTTTACAGTATTCTAGGTTTTTCTTCAATTTGGAATGGTACTGGAGCAAAAGTAAATGGTGCATTCGATAGAGCTCGTTGAGTTCTATCTTGGTCTACAGAGTTTAGTCTTTGGTCCCAACTGTGAGCGAATCCAGTTACGAAATACTCGAATCCAGGCCCAAGATATCCAACGTGTTATTGGTCTATAATAATATTCTTATTCCATTATTACATTGAATATCAAATTTAGAAGAACTCAGTTTATATTTTGACAGTTTTAATGCAAAAATTATTGATGATTATAATTTGGAGGAAAATATTTTGAATTATATGACACAATTTAAAAAAATTTAAATTTACTATTTGTTCAATTATTTCTTTTAATAATTAAGTTAATTTACTATCAAATAATGATATTCAAAATACATTTAAAAATTAAAAAAACTCTAAAATTATTTCATTGATTATTTTCCAAAAGCAAATCAATTTCATTGTCATATTTATTCATATCCATATCGATTGATTTATTATAATTATGTAACAAATAATTTTCGTGGTAAATTATTTAAACATGTTTGTAAAATATCATTAGTTGATGAACGTCCTTTCGAACATAAATTTTTTCTTCAAATTCCTAAATCTTTGTCATTTGTCAGCGAACTACCTATATATAATTGGGAATCCCAAAAGAATGGCAAACAACAATGCTCAATTATAGAATATCCTCATCTTACTAAACTTGCTCTTGTTCAAAATCATGAAAATTATTTGGAACAATTTTTGAATAATAGTAAAATGTATTTATCAAATAATATTTATCTTCTTGAGAATTATGATTGCTTACAAAGAGTAACGGATAATTTTAC